GTGAACAGAGATGTAATGGCACGTGCACGACGTCTAATGTGTGAACCCCGTCGTGCAAGAAAAACCCGATGTAAAGCATCTACCTTATCGGGCCGCTGAAAATAAATTAATACATAAATCAGTAAATAAATAAATAATGCCGAAAAAAGGTTATTTGCATTTTTAGTATAGTATTAAACAAATTTACCTCATTGCGTAGAGTATGAACCTCATTTTGCAACGATGAAATAATCTCGCGTAGAGCGACAACCTCATCACATAAAGTAGATACCTCACCACGTAGCGCACCATTGTCGTCGCTTAAAAAATCCACCTCACAACGTAAAGACCGAACCTTATCACGCCATGCACCATTATCTTAACGTAAAGTATCGACCTCATGACGCAAAGCACCAACCTCATCACGTAACTCCCCTAACTCATCCCGTGGAGGTGGAGAACAGAGAGATAAATGTTGTGGCCTCTTTGTCGGTCGCCTATCATGAGGTGATGGTGGAGAAGAGGCTCGATGATGTGATGGAATAGGTGATGGTGAAGGTGGAGAAGAGGCTCGATCAGGTGATGGCTCCGGGTGTCGAGCTGTAGAATCGGCCCGATCAGGTGATGGCTCTCGAAGTGGGGGGTGCTCATCATCCGTCCCATCAAAAAATCGCTTACTAGCTTGCCACCAATCAGTGGCAAGATCAGCCTTTGTGGGTGTCAGCCTCTGTAATAGATAGTTGACCTCCTAACAATATAAAAGCTCAAACAAAGTTAAACCTGTACTAGTAATAACTTGTTTATATATGGTATTATTTGTGTGTTAACTTACATTATTCATCGTCGTATATGGGAGTAACTCTTCCCAATCCAACATGCGGATCCTCTTCTAGGTAATAGCCCTAGGAATATCATTTGATCTTTTTATCGCATATGTCCGCATGCTGGGGAAAGCCTCAAATATCCAAATCTACAAACAATATAATATACAAACATTAGTAATTGTTAAATAATTAATTATAATTTTGGAAACATTATATAGAAATTCTTACCTTAAAGGCCCAAGTAAAGCCTGTCAAAGTGTATTTAGAACCATCGCCCCGCAAACTTTTTTGGTCCTCAAAGGCATATGACAACTTCTTCCAGGTAGCTTTCCATAGATATGAACCCCACGGAAATAGGTTCCATGCATTTAGGTCATCTACCAATAATATTAGGTCCTCAAAGATAGGTTGTATGTCCTCTTTGCCTAAAAAGTCGACGTACAAAAGTAATAAATGGCATACTCGGACAACATCAAGGTCATCCATCCGAGTCGGCTTTGACTTTGCCAGCTCAGGAAAAACCCGAGATAACCATGATGGACGGGAGATATGACTAGTGTACCGGGTTACTTCATCGTGTCCGAAGCGTAGACCAGTGATTAAGCAAAACTTCTCCCGTCCAAAACAAGTATACTCTGGTGCCAGAGGAAAATGAAACCATATCTCTTCATCACCACGTTGTATCCTCTCGGGTAGATCGTTAGTCATGGTCTGAAGAAACAAATGTGTTAACATAGCATCTCCACCCGTATGTTGTACTTTCAGCCATGGCCCGAAGCAAGTATCCTCAAACAATTTTCTTTGTAGAGGTGTAAGCATCAACGCAATTTTAGTGGCTAGGCTTAATTTATTCCTTAAGATCAATGCAGCCGAAAAAAATTTCTACAAAAACAATAAACATACCAAGTTAGATATACCAAAAACTACAAATTATACACTATAAACAGACATGATATTAAATAGTGAAAACAAAGCCAAATATGTTTCAAACTAGCACGGTATTCACATGCTGTCATTATTCCATCATATTTCACAAAATGCATCAAATAACATTCCAGAAGTAAGCACTTATATATAAACATTTAAAAGGACAACATATAGGTTTAGTACATGTTCAAGGACAACATAAAGAGTAGTAGTTTATTCTTGAAACTTAAATTAGCAACACTGTGAAGTTAATATTTGTCTTTGTTTTGTCTTTTTGTTGAAGTAATGCAATTCATTCAAGTTTCAATTTGCAGAATAAGAGTAGTTTCTGAAACTTAAATTCGCAATTGTGATTTTGGTGTTGCGATTTTCATTTTCGTGTTGGGAATTTAAGTTTCAAAAACTATTCTTCTGCAAATTAAAACTTGAATGAATTGCATTTCTTCAACAAAAAGACAAAACAAAGACAAATACTAACTTCACAGGGTTAAAGACTAAAGAGTTTAGCAGTATTGGCAGCAACCGAATGAATTTATTAAGCAATCTCAGTGAAATGGTTAATCTTTATATATATTGAAATTACCAGTAAATTTATCATCAATATAAGAAAAATCTAATAATAATACAAAAATTTCAAAATAAAAAATAAGAGATTAAAAAACTAACCCTCGGTGGTTGATTTTCCATTTCTGACCGTGAATGGTTGTGAGGGTTGCTCTGAGAGATGGAGATAGACGGATTTCGTCGGAGATGGGGACAGATTTCGCCAGAGATAGGGACGGATGTCGCCGGAGAAAGTGAGAGATGGAGATGGGACTGAGTTGTGATTTAAGGTTTTAGGTTATGATTTACGATAATACTGTTTACATTTGTGTTGCGAAATTAATATTGTGTTTCGCGTTGCGAATTTGACTATCGCGTTGCGAATTTGACTTTTGTGTTGCGAATTTGAAATTCAGTGTTGCGAATTTGACTTTTGTGTTGCGAATTTGACTTTTGTGTTGCGGATTTGACTTTTGTGTTGCGGATTTGACTATCGTGTTGCGGATTTGACTATTGCGTTGCGAATTTGACTTCTGTGTTGTGAATTTGACTATTGCGTTGCGAATTTGACTATCGCATTGCGAATTTGACTTTTGTGTTGCGGATTTGACTATCGTGTTGCGAATTTGACTTCTGTGTTGCGATTTACAAATTCGTGTTGCAAAATTGGAAACTGGGTTGCGAAATTGGAGTTCGCGTTGTGAATTTGTTGGTCATTTTGTCAAATCTAAAAAAATTTAGTTAAAATCGTATATTTTAAGACATTTTCGATCACTGAGGTTATTTTCTCTTTTCTTTAATATTCGCTGTCAAATCTTCTAGCTGTTTGGATTTAAAGTTGATTTGCGCAGGAAAAGTCGCTAGTATGTTTTCTTGTTATTTTTTTCATTAAGCGTTTCAAATTTCTGTGTTTTCTTCAATTTAATTACTACTTCATTTCCTCTTGTTATTTTCTTCGTGATTTTGTGTTCAATTTATTGTGACGGCGGTAATTTTAAATACTAATCTAGTTAACGATTGAGGGATTAAAATCGAACGGATCAAAAATATAAAAATTAAAATTATTCATTTTTTAAAATCAATAATTAAAATTGACCAGACTAAAACATAAGTGACTATGTGTATAGTTTACCCTGTTTTAAATTATAATTTTATCCACTTTGCTTCTACATATGAAAAACACTCTTGCATCGTTCAACTCTTTAAACAATGATTCAATCCCTCATGTCATCGTGACCGGGAGCGTCGTGATCAGGGTAATAAATCAGATAACTGGGCGGAAGAGTGACGCCCAAGGTACCGCAAAACCTTTTGATTTCATTACCAAACTCCGGCGTGAATCTTCCATGGTTGAAAATCCAGTTCCTGCACCTGTAATCCATACTATAAATCGCTTCGCAGCATCCAAAGCTGAGGTTTATATTCTTCTCAACCAGGGATTTGAAAATATCGTGCTGGCACCCATCTACCTTCATCACTGTTTCCGCCCAACACACCGTCGGGTCCGGCGAGTATCTCTCTTCCCATCCGAGAACCGAGAAAACTGGGGTGATGGCTATGGCGAATGCCATGGTTGTGAAGAGAAAGAGGTACCGTTGAAATGAACCCATTGCGGAAGGAGCAAGAAACTGGTTGGTTTCTTTTGGAACGAGAAGCTGGGAATTTATACAGATTTCTTAAATGTCGATGGAGCTTTTCAGTAATGGCGGTATGTTACGAGATTAGTCAGATTAAATGACTTTTGTTTTTATTACAGATTGATATGCAACTATGCAGGTTTTAGATTCCTAGGGTTAATTGCATCCTTCAACCAATGAACCAAATTTTATATTCATCTTCAAACTAGATATGCACATTTTATGATCCGGACCGACGGGTTTTGATCCAATTCAGCTTAATCGGATTAATTTTCCATTTTAAAATTTCAGGCTCAAGTCAGACCTGATCAAGCTTTCTTAGGATTTGATTATGTCGAGTTAGGTTCAAGTTTAGGGTGAAAAAAACTGACACGATCTGATCTGACATAATATTATAATCATCCTTTGTATATTTAGAGGCTATTACAATAATACTCTTTTCTATTTTTCTTTTTTTATTCAATCAGATCCTTATTTTATCTAATAAAAATGAATTATATATAAATGATTCAAGTTGAATCAGATTGAATCGAGTGCAAATTTTAACCAAAAATATCGAATCGAATTTCGGATCGGACAGGGACCCTTCTAAATCTGAATTGAAACAAATATGAATAGGGGATTTCAATTATCGAGTTGGGTTTAAGTAACCCACAAATCCGACCCGACCTATTACCATCCTTGTTCAAAACATCAAAATCTAGAGAGTTGGGTGTAATTAGTCCAAGGGAGTGTTGGTCATTTAAACACCATTAAAAAGGTATCCTATGCAACTTTCTATTGTCTTGCATAATTTGAGTCTATGATCAAAGCACACTAGAAGAAACGTATAAAACCCAGTAACTATCAAATTTAAAAATAAAAAAAAAATCTCCTTGTTCCTGGGCTGAAAATGGGTATCTCCTAGCATAAATTTTCAAAGAAACCATTTTTATTCTGTTTCTGATTGTAAATTTCAAGTGCTCAATCACTTGTCTAAAGAAAAGAACTTATTTCAGTGGTTTATATGAGACATCGGTGTATATCGACATTGCATTGATGTCTCGAATCTATACTTATTTTGCCATATATATTCATAACATGAGAAGGAACATATAAGTAAAAGGCAGAGTTGCATTTAGCTCAGGATTCAACTCATTGCCCAACCTTAATGTAGCAGACTAGCAGTCCAATTTTTACACTCAAAATGGTTATGCGTTTTTGAAACACTTGTTTTCTAAAGAAATCAATGAGTGGGAAACACATAAAATAAGACTGTAATCTGAATGATAAATAAATTGAAGCTGTCATTCAATCGACAATGCAATAGCCTCGGAAGCCAAATCAACCAGATGATCGTCACATAATGGTGCAACGGCTGCTTTCTTCTGCTGGTTGAGGGGCCACCTGCTGATACCTGTTTGACTCTGAAGGGTTGTATGTGAACTCGGACGTATCCAGCCCATACTGATATACATCCAGTGAAAAACAATGTTAGAGAAACAAATAGGAAAAAGGTTAAGAGAAAAAAAAAGATGAGACAAAGGGATATAATAAGGAGAACAAAATGCTGGAATAGAAGAGGACGAGTGGCGGTGTTCGGGTTGGATCAGTTTGTAGTTTGGGGTATATGTCCAAACAGACCATATGATTCAAGATTTTACTACACAAATTAGATGATAATCACAAACCCTAGATGTTTAGAGGATTACTTGATTCAATGTTGAGATTTGAAGCCTCAAGGAAACCAAGACATGATGTAAGAATTGGTCTAAGCAAAGATTTACCAGACAAGACAACTATATGTTTATATCAAAGAGAAAGAATTTATGGAAAAGAAATCACCTTTTCCCTCATACGTGAACTCCAAGCATCAGTTCTTCCGGGCCGTTGATCAAGGCCGCCAGCAACAGGTACACCTGTAACTGGAACTGGTTGCCTGTGGATCAAAGGCTGTCTGATTTGCTGCCTTGGTGCAATGAACTCATCATCACTGTCATAATCAGCCGGTACATTGGCAGCCCTAACCATAAGGGCTAACAAGAAAATAAGAACCTGCAAGTTGAAGTTGATTTTGAATACAAATAAGTTAAAGCCTAGAGAAACTATACCAGTATCATACAGCAGATAAACAAGTCATAAAACAAATCACCATCAATCTAAAGTACTACGTGGTGCAATTTGTCAACTAACTTTCCCTCGGTGAATCATAATCCAACATCTTTCTCCATATGGAACCCTCCTAAAAGTTATCTAGGACTAAAATGATGTCATATGCAATCATCTTAACCACAATAAATACCGAAAAGAACTGGACATGCGGCATTCCAAATTTTCTATAGTTGAAGTTTTCAACTTTCCTTTAGTACGGTTAAATTGAATAATTTTCAACTTTAACACTTGATTATGGAATTTAAATAAGATCGTATCTCTTTTCTTATGCCAAATTTATTTGCAACAGATAGATATCCAAGACTAAGTTGTATCTACTCAGTAAGGATAAGAAAGCCCTGGACTCTTCTGTGCATTGTTATCACAAAGAACCATATGTTTGAAAGCCAAATGACGCTACGGAAAAAAAAACAAATTATAAGGGCTGAGAATAAAGAATACAACTCTAATCGATTAGTAATCAAATAGGAAAGCCTTTTATTAGAAAACAACTTCATTTATTTAACCTCTATCAGTCTATTAGATTGTTGCTCTATTTTTTTTTTTTTTGCATACTGTTGAAAGTGATTGTTCATGAATGTGAAGTAATATGCAAGTTCTCAGGATATAGATCAGTATCACATTACGTTTACCTCTAAGACAACAATTCCAAGAGCTACCCATCCAGCAATACTCCAGTTTTCTTGCAGAAAATGATATATCATATCAAAGTATCCTGTTTTATCCGCAGGAAGTTCCTAAAGAAATTAGCACCAATTAGATAATCAAGCACACTATCTTCGATTAAATAGAAGGGAGAATGGACCAAAAAGTAAGCAAAAGTCACATGTTTCCAGCTTTTGTCGAAGACTATGAAAGCTGCACATCCCAGCTCCACCAAGATCAACAGAAACACCAACACTGAATACTAGGTTGCCTTAAGGAAATCGATCATCATGAAAGAGAAGAAAAATGATTGGGATAAAATAAAATTAAGAACTACTAGATTATAATTTTGCTAGGACGTTACATGATTTATCTATGTCCAAATTACCACTGTCGAAAATATCAAACAGATAATGAGGATACACAAGACAAACAGCATAAATTCCGAGTTGAAGCTCCAATACAACCACAGCAAGATATAACAAATAGAACCACACCTACTCCAATGAATAAATATATAAACCTGCAAAATCGAGATTGAAAAGTTAAAACACATGAAAACATGCAGAAGATTCTTCAGCAATACACATGACCATAAGAAAAACAAACTGTTAACGTGTTATGAACTAGAAAATATAACATGTGATAGAAGACTACACACAAATTACAGCTGCTCAAGCTCCAGCTTAGCTGGCCTTGAAATATGAACCAAGATCTACCCAGTCTCCACTCTCAACCCAAAATTATCTAACATGCTTGAGGCTCTTTTTCGCATGAGTTATAGAAAAACTAGACAAAAAAGAATAGTTGGCATTGCTTCTCGCTGCCTCGGAATTGTCTTAACTATACCTACAAGGAAGCACCAAATGACATTTCAAATACCGATTTGTCCAATTCATCTGGGGATCTTGGAAGCAGATTTCATTCAATCTAGTATGACTCGAATTCAAGTGGACCGTGAAAAATTATAGTACATACCGGTATTTCACTAAAGAAATGGGGAAATATCACAAATGCTACATGAACACATTTTTAATTCAACTATTGCAAGCATTGCTAAACTAATAAGGAAAAATAAAGAAGTAACAACATCAAACATTCAAACTACGAGCAAATGAAAAAAACAATACCATTCTTTTGGAAGACGATCGAGAATATCAGACGAAACATACTCGGCCACCACGAGCATGGGCCGACCGAGCTGTCTCAAATGCTGATCACGGCCCGCAGGCAACAAAAGCGTGGCAACATCAGCAGCTCTTTGGTACTCAACAAACAAGTAGATCCCATATCCAACCATTGCCAAACCAGCAACAGTCATCAAAAAGTTCAAGAGCTTCAACAAGCATTCTAAGCATCCTCTACAAGCCATCCTCTATAAACAAATGAACAAAATTTCTCCTTTTTTTTCTGGGTAAATGTAAGGAAACAAAAATGGGTCCCCTGAAATCTTGGTATCGTCAAATCCCCAAGGAATTGCTCGACAAAATTATCTCATTTATGCAATAATCTTTACAAGTGAAATCAAAAACAACCCAATGCTTAAAATATATGTAATTTCTAGCTAAGATCGCACAAACCAAACAAAAAACAAATTGAATAGATCACTTACAATTGCCAACTGAGATGATCTTTTGGGAAATAAGAGAGGGAGAGACTCGGTATGTACAAAATCGAAGGACGCCTTCTATCTAAGCTTTGCTATTTCCTTACAGGATGGCAATCTTAATTCTTGCCATTATTGCCCTTTCGGTTAAAGTTGTTGGGTTACTAAAATTAGGATTAATAATACTAGACATCACTGAGATGTATGTTAAATTTTAAATTGGTCTTAATATTTTGAAACTGATTCAATCCTCAAAATTAAAATATTTTTCCAATGAAATCATTTCGTCAATCAACTGATTTGATTTAAAAAAATACTCATAGATTAATAAATAGTTTTTAACACATTAGATGTAAGTTGATATTTAATGTCCGAACCGATAACTAAAGTACCAAATTTAAAAGATACTTTATATTTGGATCCATTTAGAATTTTAATCACATTTTAAAGAGTTTTATATTTAGTTAGGGGTGTAAATATACAAATCGTTCGACGAACTGTCTGTAAATTATTTATTTATGTTTTTTTATTCAGTTAAATAAACGAGTTTGAACAAAATTTTCATGTTTATTTAATAAACAAACAAACAAAAACAAAGGTGTGTTCGTTTCGTTTATGTTCGTGAACAAAATTATTTGAAGATTCATTTATCGAAACATTTATAAATCTGTTTATAAGCTCATTTACCCGATTCTCCTTTTCATTTTATTTTTTCACATTTGAAATATGAGTGAAGGTATGGACTAAAATTGAAGGGTGAACTTTGGAGTTTACATTGTGAAACCTAAGGAGGTTAAAGACTAGTGAAGTAATTTCACCATTTTTTAGTTTGCATATAAAAGGATAAAAATAGAGTGTTGGTTGCCTATGAGACCCAAACCATATAAATTAATATGTTCGTGAATGGTAAACGAAACGAAACGAAGCGAAACATTGAGAGGTATTCTTGTAAAAAAAAAAGAGACTGGATTCAATGGCATATTGAAATACCCTAGACCTGAGCAACTTCATTGGAATTTGCCCTTTTGGATTTAGAATCATCTAAATAGTGTTGATAGAGGTATGAAATGAAACCCCATATGGCCAAAACCATGGCCATGGCCTTAACACCATCCATCTTGTCATGGAAGAACATCACAGCAAGAATGGGGATCACAGGCAAACTCAAAGTACTAATCACATTCGAGAACAGAGACGACACTTCGAAAACCAATCCCAGCAATCCGATCGACGAAACCTGCCATGTCACCGCCGTAAAAATCAATGTCATCAGATAGGATACCTTCCCATTTCCGTATTCGTTCATTTCATCCGATAAACCCCTCCATTCTCCGCTCGCGAACAACCCGACGACGCACCCGCAGGTGGCGACGAATGAAGGGTAGATTTGCATGTCCAGGACCGCGGAGAAGGTCTCTCTTTTTATGACCTTTTCGAATGAAAACTGTACAAGTGAAAGGTATAAAGAGTAGGCCGCCGACGCCCCGATGGTGCATATGAATCCGATCGCGTACTTCTCTTTCGAGACGGTTGAGGTGTTTTCTGAGCCTGAATTGACTGCTAGGAGGGCTGCTGAGATGGTAAGTAAGATAACAGAGTTGAGTATAAAAGGAGTGAACTTTTGGGAGTTGAGGAAAAAGGAAAAGAAGGCATTGAAGGCCAGTTGAGTCGCACAGAGTAGCGAATACGTCGACACCGGGACATACAGAAGGCCATACGAGTACATCATGTTGTCTCCCGTCAAGAGTAAACCGAAACCGAAATAGAGCACAACAAGGGTCGAAATCGTCGGTTGCTTTGTGGTGCAAGAAACACCCCTATGGTTTGATTTGGAGAATGGTGACGAGAAGTAAAACAAGAGAGGGAGTAAAATTGGGAACCCTGCCGATTGAACAAACGTTGCCATCCACTTACTGTTCCCTCCTTTGTCATAATACAATCTTCCGAGCAACGTAGCCGCCGATTGGCCGGCGATAAGAAAAACAATATAACTTATCACACGAATCCACCATTTGTAATGCCTGAATCTTGAAGACTGAGGCTGATTTGCAGAAGAAAGGTCTTTATCTTGATTCTGGGTATGAACTATAACATAAAACATACATAGAAAACAGTAAATTTTAAGAAATTTGCAGATAACAGAAGGGGTCGAACTCGAATCTGACTCGACTTTAAACTTTATCGAAATTCTCTTCGACCGAGAAAAGAAGGAATTTACTTGGTACAAACCTCTGGTTTGCAGTTCAACACCCATTTGAGGCTCCTCCATGAAGGTGCAGCAGAAGATGAACAAAGGAGCAGCAGACAGATATTTTAAGGTGATGAGATAATGTTCAAATCATTGATATGTTTTGACGGTAAAGACAAGTTGTTCCAACTTGCTGGTTGAAAATAATGAATATGAATTCATACACATATATGTCAATACAGTGTTGAGTTTTCAAATATTTATTTTAGTCAAAATTGGCAACTTATATTTTTTTATAAAGTATAACAGAAAATATCTCGAATATATAATAGAATTTTATTTAAAATATTATTTTTATTTTGAAATTATTTGAGCTAATTAATTTTTTTTTTTAGATTTTGAGTTCAAATTAAATTTGATATTTTTGAATAATTAAAACACTGAAAATTAAAATGATATGGGTTTGGTCTATAGTTAAACAATTTGATTATTTGTGATTTGGTTCTTGATTTCTCTTTTTCCCATTCTTCACTCGTTTTAAGTCTGTTTCGACCAAATTTGAACCATATGCTCTTCAACTACGGTAGAATACCTATGTAATTTCCACACCTCTTTTTGACAACAAATTTTTTATTTGTTTTCAATTTAATTTATCAATTTTGTATTTTCTTCAATTTGATCCTTTGATAGCAACCCTTTTACAATTTCTTTCTTCCATCAATTCTTTGACTCCTTTATACTTTGTACTCAAAATATATTCTTTTATAAAAATAATATTATAAATATATTATATAATTTAAGAGAATAATTATATAATAAATAATATTAAAATCTTACTTACATATGTGAAACAAAAATATGAAAAATATGATTAGAGAGTTAATTAATTAAGAACCAATCAATATATAACATTATGAATAATTATATTCAAATTTGAATAAAAATTTAAACAAATATATTTAATTCGTCTCGATTCAAATAATAATTATAAACTTAATTAACTCGTATTTTTTCTATTCGAGTCTATTCGATTCGATCTAAAATTCACGATTATTTGTTGCTTTCGCCGTTAATTTTGATTTTTGGGTTTGGTTGTTTTATGAGACTTTACTAACTTAGCATTTTGCCAACATTTTATTTGTCAAATGACTGTCGGAGTAGTTAAGTTTCCACTTTATTATAAATGAAACCTTTGGAAATCTTTAATACTTTGTTATTTTCAAAATCCATCGTGTCTTTAACAATCAATTGACATTTAAGAAAATGTCAAATCAATAAAATCTTAAAAAAATAACTAATATGGTATCAAAGTTAATAGGGGATAATACAGGATCCATATAATTAAAAATATATATAGGGTAATTTTTCAATACAAGTAAACTGTAGGGACTATTCATAAATTTTAACCTATAATTAAGTCAACAAGAAGAAGAAAAAGAAAAACTAGGGAGAAAAAATTGTAATTGTTGCAAAAGCAAGGGAGCAGTAGGGCAACGACTGAAAAAAGCAGGACGAGATTTTATCAAGAGTTTACTCAAATCCAATGAAAGGTTTTTTATATTTGGCTTAATACATAAATTGGCCCTTGAGTTTAGTAATTTTATCAAATTGATCACGGAACTTTTTTGGTCAAACTAGCTCCTAAGGTTGGAAAACGGACACAAGTTAGTTTATAAGACTAACATTGTTAAATTTTGAAGCCTATTTGATAAATTTGCCTCTTAACATTTTAGGGTAAACTATGCGAATGATCCCCTTTATTTTTGGTCTGATCGATTTTGATCACCAATTTAAAATTAAGGGTACATGGTCCCTAACGTTATCGATTCATTCAATTTTAGTCCCTAATGTTATCAATTCGTTCAATTTTATTCCCTCGGCCATTAAATCCCGTTTGATTTTAGTCCCTCAACTATGTCACATATTCGTTCAAGGTTAAAAACGGAATGACTTAAACCAAATGGACCGATAATGTCCGGGACAATTTACCCTTAATTTTTAAATTGGTGATCAAAGTCGGACATACCCAAACAAAAGGGATTATTGGCATAATTTACCCAACTTTTTAACTCCTACTTAATTTTAATTATAATTAAATTAAATATTTATTTATAAAAGGAAATGCAATTTGTTTAATAAAAACTATCTTTTTGTTATTTTTAATAAAAAATACAAATAATTATCCAATGGTTTTAAAAAAAAATTAAAAAATAACTAATACTATATGTATCACCGCAGGGAAAATTCTACAGTGCACGTCGCATACTATAAGATACCACTAAAGCGATGTACCGAAACATACCACAAGCAAATTTTATCCTTATTATGTAAATATTAAAAAGTATAATGATTTATTTAAAATTGATCATTTATTAAAAATTAATTATAATTTTAATAGAATTATAATTAAATTATGATTTTAGGGTAAACTATTTTTCAGTACCTAAACTATCACTTTAGTTCCAATTTAGTACCTCAACTTTCATGTTTTTCAAAATCATACTTAACATTTATTTTTTATTTCATTTTAGTACCACGCCGTTAAAAAGTTAACGGCATAGCTGACGTGGCGTTTTTTATTTAGGTAAATTACACGGTTCATCAGTCAACTATCTTCTCAGTTCTATTTTGTTAACTAAAATTTAAAGATTTTCAATTTAATCAATAAACTTTCAAATTACTTGTACTTTGATCTCTCTTGATGACGTGAATTATTTTATTATTATTTTTGGCATGACATAACAAATTTATTATTATTAATGTCAAATAAAATTTAAAATCAAAATCAAAATTCTTAATCTTAATCTTAAATTTCCAAACCCAATGCCGATCTAAATTCATCCCTAACTTCATCTTCATAAAACAAATAATACCCAAAAACCTAGATTAGCCCTTGTTTTTTCTTTCATTCCCTTCTTTTCCCTAGAGGTAGTGCTACAATTGAGTGGAACTACACAAAAAATAAAAAATAACCTTGCAGTCCATATCATCTTCTTTCTTTTATTCTTTTCATTTTGATTTTATGATTAGGTCCGTGAAAGTAAAAAGGGGTAATGTTGCTTTTGTTTGGTTGGTGATATAGTGAAATGAGTTATCTTTATTTTACATGGAAAATGAGAGAAAGTGCAAGAAAAATAAGTATAAACAGAAACCTACATTTTTTTGTTTTGTTTTTGTTTCATACTAAAATTAAACAAAAAAAAATAAACGTTAGGTATTGTTTTGAAAAAATTGAAAGCTGAGATACTAAAACGGAATAAAGTAATAGTTTAGGTACTAAACGTATAGTTTACCAGGAGCAATTGATTTTCCGACAGATCGAAGCACCGGATGCTGTAGCAGTTGATTTTCCAATGAGTGAAGATGATCGTCGGTGGTGACTGATGTTGATGGCCAGTTCTAAATTATATAACTTAAAAATATTAATTCTAAACAAATTAAATTATTTAAATTAATTATTATTTTTAATAAAAATCATAATTCTATTAAAATTATAATTAAATTTTAATAAATAAATAATTTTAAATAAATCCTTATATTTTTTTGTTAACAAAATCCTTATATTTTTTAATATGGTAAACTACTTCAAATACCACTCACCTTTAGGATTGGGCTCGTTTATGCCACCAACTTTTCAATTTTGCCAATTTTAACACTAACGTTTAAGTTTAACTGCAATTATGTCACTCCGCCGTTAATGGATTAACGACACGATGACATTACATCTTTGTGTCGTGACGTTGCTGACGTGGCTCCCTCACCAAAACGACGTTGTTTTGACATGACTGTGTTTGGTGCTAAAAAAACCCAAAACGACGTAGTTTTGTTTGAGAAAATTTAATAAAATTATGCTTTTGAGGGGATTTGAACTCAGGACCTATTGGGAAAAAAAACAAGGCTTAACCACTGCACTAAATTAAAGTTTGATTTTTTCCCTACAAACATAACATAGATAATATTAGTCAGGATTCCAAAAGTTACTTTCTAAAAAACCCACGAAATTATTAAAATTCTAAAAAACACCTTAAATTCTATAAAATCTCAAAAAACTCCTAAGTTTCTAAAAATCTAAAAAACATAAACTCTAAATCAAAATCCCTAAAAATCATAAGATTCATTTTTAGAATGAATTTAGGGATTACCAAAAAAAATCATAAACTTGAAATCGTAATCCCAAAAAATCATAAAAATCATAAGATTTATTTTTTAAATTGAATTTAGGGATTACCAAAAAATTATAAACTCCCTAAAAAAGTGAATCTTATGATTTTTAGAGATTACGATTTAGAGTTTATGGTTTTTTATGAGATTTTTAGGAACTTAGGAGTTTTTTGAGATTTTATGGAATTTAAGGTGTTTTTTTAGAATTTTAATAATTTCATGGGTTTTTTTGAAGAGAAAATAACTTCAATGACCGAAAATGCCTTAAAATATACGATTTTAACCAACTTTTTTGGATTTGCAAAAATGATCAACAAATTCGCAACGCGAACTCCAATTTCGCAACACAGTTTCCAAATTCGCAACGCGATTTCCAAATTCGCAACATTGAATTTCAAATTCGCAACTCGATTTCTGAATTCGCAATGCGAATTTTGTTTTCCCAACTCGATTTCCCTAAATCACAACTCATTTCATCTCTATCTATCACTCTCTCCGACGACATCCGTTATTATATCCAACGACATCCTTCCTCATCTCTATTTTTTTTACATAATTTTATTTCTATATAATTTTTCAATGATTTCTCTCCCAAATTATCAACTATCAACTTAAAATGTTTTCTCTAAGTTAGTGATATGATATGTAGTTAGCTCGTTTGTTTAGTAAATTAATTTACATTTGTAGAATGAAATCATCTAATGTTGATCATGTTTGGATAGATTTTTTTTGGAGGGTCATGAGAATGTTCATGGTGTTTTACAATATATGTCTTTACCATGAATCTTCAACTAAAACTACATTAAAAAAGTTAACTTATGAAACTCTAATGTACATGTTGCAAAGAAATTGAATTTACAACCTCTAAGTGGATTTAGGCTATCTTATCAGAGAAAAGGTAAAGTTATTTGTTAACCGACAATGAAGATGTTGAACGATTCATTGCTTACATTAGTGTTTTGTAAGAAGATGATGTACATTAGTTGTTGA